GAGAGAGAGAGAGAGACAGAGAGGCAGACAGACAGGCAGACAGATAGATAGATAGATAGATAGATTCAACAATGCATGATGACTGTCAGTTTCCCGCTTCGACAAGGAGACATAATTAAGCGGCCTTGGGCACCTCGGCGTGGTGTAATGGTTAGAAAGCTTGTCTTGCTAGACCAATTACGACTGAGTAGGGAGTTCGATCCTCACTGGGTGCCCCATACTTTCGGCCTTGTGCCACATCTAAACCGGGCTTAGAAAATCACCATAATTAAGCGGCCTTCATGAAACAATCGTTTGCAAACCATCACAATAATGAGTTCGATACACATTGAGAGTTTCAACATACTTACATGTATGAATAAAATGATTGGGCTCCTTTGTGAAATGTAATGGCTATTGAGTTAGTCTAGTTGAGTATTATTACTGTATAATGATATCGTACAACCAGACTTAAATAATAATAGTAAGCTTAATTCCCTTTTTGTATTAAATACAAGTGCCGTGTGGAATAGTCATGCCGGTAGGAATCTTTCAACTTATAAGCGTATAGGTTTAATAAATTGGGGCAAAATAATGGTCCCGCGTAGAAAATTATTTGAAAAATAATAAACGCACTGCATCAACTAAGCACCGTGCGTAGGCGAGAGGAAAGTAATTTAATCGTGACAATAATTGTATTTGGTATACAAGAAGAATACATAAATTGATGCACTCAAGTCATCCGTAAATATCAAGAAACAATCGTTATCTATAAAATGTTGCAGAATGTGGCAAAGTCTGCTGATACCGGAAGTATTTTGAAGGGCAAACATGTTTTCTACACCCAAATTCCATAGACAGACCAAGGCCACACGTGGCGGGAAGCTAAGCCAACAAGTGGCGTTGATGAATAAAAAACTGAAGCTAATGGAGATGTTTCGATACCGTGAAAGTAACATTTTGCGTCAGACGTTTTTTAAATTCCTTTCAACCCTAACAAGATATTAAAGGCATAAAGGGGTTACTGAGTGTGAAATAATATAAGAAAAATAAAAAATATTATTAAGGAGAGAAAACAATGAAATAACAAGAATTAAGAAGACAGAAGATAACGATTGATATTGCATTTAAATTTTTGAAGATCAACATTGATTGAAAAGCAAGAGGTCTGATGAGAGTTCCACAAGTGAGAAGTTGAGCTCGTATATTTACATCTCAGCCACTGCATGTTACTTCGATGGGGTCGAAACACCTTAATTTACTCCGTGTGGCAAAGGTACGAAGAAAATTATGCCCAGAGCTTTTTCTCAAGAACTGAAACTTTGTTGAACAAACTCCCACGTGAATACTTCCCTGATCAGTACAATCTTAACATTTCCAGAGAATAGTTAGTTGTTATCTATCCTACTTATTCTTATAATCTTCCATTCCCTCTATTTTCTCTTTCGTGCACATCACATACTTTATTTATCGTTACCATTTTAATGGTAACACTCTACGTGGGTTGGTTCTCGAGATGGTATTGAGTGAATTTTAAGATATAAAAAAGTTTTCATAAGTTTCACTTGTGGCATGAAATTTTACCTCCACAATCCATTGCCATCGGCTTAAATATTTCTCTTTCATTCATATCACACATTTTATTCATCTTTACCATTTTAATAATAACACTCTAAATTAAGTGGCTTTTGAGCCTTTTATTGGGTTAATTTTAATATATAAAATAGTTTTTAAAAGTTTCACTTGATGTGTGAAATTTTACCTCCACAATCTTTTGTTATCGGCTTAAACATTTAATCAATTCATCTGTCATATTATGCGTCTGCTAATCATACTTATTATAAAACCCATGTTGTGTGTGTGTGTGTGTGTGTCTGTACGTTTATATATTGGATCGGATTTCCTACATTTTTCAACCGATTTCAACAAAAATTCACAGGACTACGTAAAATTACCTTGCGGTGGTTCTGACAGTGCCAAAAATTAAAAAACAATTGTTTTTGCACGAATTCAATTTGAAAACACGATTAAGAGGCATCGCGAGAATGAAAGGGGGACAACTCATATCGAGTTATACTTATTATAAAACCCAGGTTGTGTGTGTGTGTGTGTTCCTTTATATATGGGATCGGATTTCCTACATTTTTCAACCGATTTCAACAAAACTTCACATTTTTTTTTTGGCAGGTAGTGTTTCTTATTGTCTTGCACACTTTTTTTTTTATTTTACATTCAGAATGCTTTAAAATTCCATTTACAAGACAAGTGTTTATAATAAAATTCTATTCAATCGGTAGACTCATAACGACTGAAAACAATGTTTTTGTTTGAGTTTGGGTTTGACCAATTCGTAAAAAAACAAAAAAACAAAACAAAACAAAAACAAAAAAATAATAATTAAGACATGCGTGTCCGTCAACCTTAAACAATAATCTTTGTCAATTTTATTTTTCAGTCTTTATGATGGTCGATACTTGATCTATCTCTTACTGTTACATCCCCGGGCAACGCCGGGCTCTACTGCTAGTCCTTTATGGTTGTACTCCAGCCATTGCAGCAGTGGTATGTCTAGGGAAAGATAACCTGACAGAGCCTATCCTAGAGTCGTTGCCTCCTCAGGGCAAATAAATCCAGATAGTTTGTGGTGGTTGGATAGGGGAAAATAGTTTGGTTTGGTTTGTTTTACGGCAATGGGTTATTAAATGCCGATATGATTTTTATTGCTGGTAATTTTTCCAAAATGTACTTCTGGGATTAAAATGTATTTTTACACTGCCATAGTGTTTTTTGACCCAAGTTTGGGGGTTAACTATTTGCCCATAACTGGGATCTTGACAGGTGCTACCAACCCGGGTCAGGGTGGACCTGGGAACACCATCAATTAAGAGGTGGTTCCACACTCCCCAAAACGCTCTTGATGAGAGACGTTGCTGTCGAATGTAGTTTATCGTCATACACAGGACGAGGAGAGAGAGATGGATTCATAGCTTTCCGAAAAAGTATTTGTGCGAAAGTAAACGTGAAGATCTTGGATCTCTTCTTTGTCTTTCAAATTCATCAACCATTACATCACCCGTACCTTCAATTCAAATATGTATGAGATAAGAATCAAAGCAAACACGAGAAACAGATCTTGACTTAATCAACTAAAAATGCTCGCCATTCTTCCCATAAAAGATGTAATGATATTGTAAAAGTTTTATTACCATCATTAATGGAGGTACTCTCCTTCCACACATTTTGTCCAAATAAGTAGGACTTATTGGTATAAGCCAATGGGATAGACATAAGGCTTTATGGGTCGATAGCCTGGTTTGATGAAACGGGCATTAAAGCCTAATTTAAGTTTACTGCTGCCCCGTCAGGAAGTGGAGCCAATGCGCGTTGATGAGAGGAACTGAGTTGGAATAGGGCATTGCTTTCCTCTGGACACTGAATTTGTTTCCGGATTTAGAGAGTTCATTCGTTGCTACGCGTTGGAATATGCAACAATAAAATTCTTTTGAGCCAATTTATTCACTCTTCGACAGCAGCAAAATGTCTACGCTGTAGAAATTATTACTTGGGAAAAACTTATGTGGTCGAAGGCTATCATTTTCGAAAGGCTGTTTTTGCCAATTTCCCCAAGAATGAACGACGTCGTAGTTGCATTGAAAACCCGACTGTCCTTATGTCTCTGCTTTAGGCAAGAAGGATATGATTTATTCTCTTGCAGAATTTCTGAAAATATTTTAAGGGGAAATAACTTCAGCCATAGAAATGGACAAAGGTTTCGTAATAAAATCTTTCTCACAAGTGTGTTGCCGTAGCAAGCACTCGTCTCCTAGAGGAATACACAGGTGCATCTGTACAGCATCATTTTTATAATTTTACTTGAATAATCTTCGTTTAGTAATTAGCCACAATTTTCTTTTTTCCCATTAACTATTATATTGAGCATTTTGCTTCGACATTCCCCAGATAGGAATCTAGTGGGAATTTCCTCCAAAAAAGTATGAGTTGAATTATTAAATAAGTAACAAGTAGAATTTTAAAACAAATTTAAAATGTTTCACTATTTATTTAATTTCATCGGTGTTGTAGCATACCTAAGGACGATAATGGGTATGTCCACATTCACATAAATACAGTAGTAAATACTGTATGGTGGTCTGCATTTGGAGATTCGTCTCCGGGCAGAGAGGATCCCCAGACGAGGTTATGTCGAAGAGCAGAGTCTCGTCTCAGAAAACAGCTACCCGACCCCATGTTATATGGGGTCTACGGGGAATCTTTGGCCGAGCCTACGGGCTTGGATATCCCACATTAAATTCCGCCTTGTGCCACATTTGACCGAGTGGGGTGGTCGGTAGATATCCTTCAGTTAGTTATTTGTTGTGGAATTCACTTGACTCACTTCTACCAGTTGACTACTACTTCTACGCGCCGCTGGCGAATCTTATATGTGTTGTTCTTGTCCTAAGTATTATCGCCCATTACCAACCTTCGTTTGATTATTCTATTCAGTAACTTTCCCTAGGTTACAACAATCGGGAATTTCCGAAGAGAAATAATGCGGAATAGTTTCAATATTTTAAAATCTATGTTGTCTTGTTTTCTTTAGTTGTGTAGATATCACGTGATCATTTTTGGCGGTAGTATGTATGTGTGAATACATATATGAATTTTGTTATGTGGGTGTCACGTATTTATCTCATGGTGTTGTTCTAAAAAAATCGCCAAGCAATATTTAATCGCCAAAGATTTTCTTACAATAAAAAATATGTTTGATTGATTGATTCGTCTTTGAAGGTTATTTAAAGCCAGAAAATATTTTTAGATTGTAAGGATATTTATTTTAGATAATAATGATTAGGTCATACTAAATAACACATAACTGCGGGAAAGGAAAGAGGTGGATTCATACCTTAACGAAGGGGGTATTCACGCGTAAGTGAATATAACAAACCCAACAGAAATTGGAACTCGGCTCTCCTTTTAACAATTCCGATCTATTTCATCATCCACACATCCAAGCTTAGAGCACCTGCTATTCCAAAGCGGTAACCCATCTAGATACTGACCAATCTCGACGTTGCTTAACTTCTATGATCGTATGGGAACCGGGAACCGGTGTTTCAGGATGATGTGGCCGTAAGACTTCAAAATATGTTTTGGCTTTAAATAACCTAAAAGGGGTGTTGGTAAGCTGTAACAGGTAAATCATTGTTGCTTTTCACGTGTGAGTGTGTATAAGTTTAAAGAAAAATTATTTAGCAGAGTTTTACGTTTCATGTGATCATAGGAACTGCACGTCTCACATCTCAATAATATCCGACATATAGAAATGTTATTCCTTACCAAAGTTCTTGTGCCAGATACAAAAAAAAAAAAAAAAAAAAACTTGTAGGAACAGTAAGTCATAATAGTCAACAAATAGCAAAACAAAATAAAAAATCAAAAAATGATAAAAATTTTAGCGTAAAATTTTAGAAGGAAAAATAATTTTATTACACAGTTACAAAAAAGTGTAAAATACAAAGTTTGAACAAAAATTTCATTTTGTGCTCCTATTAAAGGGGGATAACAATTTCAGAAAGATTATTACCATCGAAAAATAGAAAAAAATATTGTTTCGAAAAAGAAGGATTTTGAAAATGACAAAAAGAGAAAACAATTCAAGAAGGCATTTAAAAAACAAAACTGCAAAATCATTTGAGAAAAAAAAAAAAAAAAAACTCGAAAAGACCCACTTTCATTTGCCCCATGAGCGTCTATGGGACACGGTGATTTTTTTTTAAAGTCCATTTTAACTTCACACTGTTCGTGCTTGGTAAAATCTATTACAATTTTTTTTTTTGGCTGTCCAACCATATGAGAATTTTCACTTGAACTTCAAAATTTTTTAGTCTCTCTGCAGTTGGTCGGTAACTGGTGCATTCTTTAATGTTTTCTTCTTGGTATCAAATGCCTTTTTTGATGTTGATCTGCCTCGTTCCCTTGCTGTCAAAAAAAGTCTTATTTTCGCATCTAATGATGACCTGAGCTCTACCTATTTGAAAAAAAATATAGGCTCAGAAAGGCCCCACTATTCGGTATGTGACTAGTACTTGAGATCACGTCTCTGATTGGTCAATATATACGAAAAAAATATTTTCCATAAACTGGAAATTGATCCTTCACAAATTTGTACGGGTTTTAACCATTGAGCCAAAAAGATTGTAACAATTTTAACACAAACCGTCAGGCCTTTATAAAAATACACTTCGCTCAAAAGAACGTGTATTAAATAACAATCTAGATGATTAAACATTTTTTAAAAGTAAAAATAAACGTTTTTATAGATAATGCTATCACCTATTTACAACATATTTGAAAGAATTTCAGTAGTAAAAATATGCAAGAATTTCATTTTTTTTTAAAGATAAGATTGCTGGCATCTTAAAAGTGAGTTTCTATTTTTAAAACTCAGAATACTAACAATATTGGAAACATATACATTTTTTTTATCTTTTCCTGAAACATTTATGATTCTTTAATCGAAATACTGAGATGAAAGTAATCGTCAGTGTTTTTTTTCAAATAAGATTGCAATAAAAAAAATATTGTTGATGCCTACACGTGAGTAATGACAATCCTGGAAAATACCTTCAGCAAACAACGACCTAATTTCCGTCTTAGAGAAATGGAGAAGTGCTAGCAGAAAAAAACGAAAACAAAAAACAGAATAAGAATGGTAAGCCTTGCCTCACTATTTACGCACCAATTATCTTCACTCAGTTCCTTATCGACTTCTGAATTAAATTCAAAGTTGTGAGAACAATAAATAAAATATTAAATTATGAATGCTGATGAATGTACCAATTACAGCTCCCTAAAATATTAATTCTTTAATCCTAATTAAATTTGGGATGTACCTTTACGAAACCAATTGAAATGATAAGTGTGTTCGACTTTAGAAATAAACAGTATAAACCAGAAGGTAACGTCAGAAAAAAAAACCCTATCTAAACCGATCACCGTCTTCACGAGAGGAAATCGATTCTGAAAACAAAGAAGATCTACTCGATCTCAGATGTAATTATGCTGAGAAACTAGAGGAAGAAGAAAGAGGAAAATGATGAATTGAAAAACCACCAAAACTTCTCTCTGCATCTGAAAAATAAAATAATTAGATAATAAAAGACAAACACATAAACAAATTATAACATCAACATTAGGGTTGTGCCAATAATGATTGGAACACTTGGAACAGGGAAAAATAGAATCGATATTGGATGGATGGGATATTTGAGGAAGGATTAAAACTAGCCAAAACACGACTTTGATCGGGTAAGAGAGGATGCCGAGCATGGTGCTGGAGATTTGGGGACACGTAATCTCTCGATATGACCGCTAAAAAAGGTGGTTAAATGCAAATAATAATAATAAGTCTATGTGTGGAAGAAAAAATGACGAAGTATTTGTATAAGAAACCCAAGCGGTGGCTGATCAGAAATAATGAAGGTGACTTAAGAACGATTTCCAGGAAAAGAAGGGATGATCTGCGCAGGGTAGGGACAACACTTTTGGTACATCAACACATTTACCCTTATGAAGGCTGTGTAGGCAAGCTACTGGAAGTTCATAACACATTGACGGTGGTTGTACTCTGCTAGCACGAAAAGATTACAGACAAAAATGCCAAGTTAGCCCGCAGACCGCATTGGTAACTATTCCGGAAATATGATGACAAGTGCACGACCATACACCCGCGCCAGTAACCGAGAATGAGCAAGTGAAGCACATATGAGATACAACGACCATAACTGACAAGCGCTTGATAGAAATCATATCACACTTGTATAGAAGGGAAAGCAATGAATTTATCCTGATGGACGTTGCTAGAGAAGAACAGAGTGAAGGGGCAGAAGACAAAAAACGCAGTGGTCCAAAAGAGACAGTAAATTATAGAAATGCAACGAAGAATCAACAGCTTAAATTGTCTCTATTGTGGTTGGCGCAAGGAATCTTTCTGTTGCACAAGACTCCTTGGGGATACTTGACATCATTGGGAGTATTTATAAGCTGTGTGTAGGAACTGAGATATGGTCATTCGGCCGAAACATATAAGAGCTGAAAAGAATTATAATAATAATGATAATAATAAAATAATAAAAGTTTTTATTATTATCATTATCATTATATATATATCAGACAAGGGGTCATAATTGAGATTCCTACATTTGTACACCAACGTTACTTCATTGGTATGCTTGTTACGCCCGGGGTCTCGTTGGGACTACGATAGCCTGGACGCAACGAGAAAATAAAAAAAAAAATAAGTAAGAGATCCCAAGGTTCGATATAAAAATAAAGAAAAAAACGTTGGGAGGGGAATTCTCCAATTCCAGACATCGGTAAACGCAGAGAGAAATTGAACAATTCGCAGACACAGAACAACAGAAGACAACACGAGAATATACAATACAAAGATTTTATTTCTAGAATACACGGAGTGTGAATACAAGAAAAAGAAAAAGAAAACTAAATAATACAAGGGATGGGGAGATAAGTTACCAATTATTAAACAGATACTAATGCGGCGAAATTCATATGAATACAGAAATAGCAGATTTTAAGATAGGGAAAAACATGCAGAAACTTACATAAGTTTGGAATCGACGTCGATTGACAATTATCGGGGTACAATTTGTTCAAAGAATATTTATACACTTCTCTGATGGGATTGACAATGTTGATCTACAATCTCGCGTCGGTCCTTTGGTTTTTGGTGACATCTAATTCTTCTAATGGCGAATAGCTAAGACGGGTTTTTGGTGACGTCCGACTCCTCTGATAGCCAGCAACTGTGTGTGGTTGTTGTTACCTCAACACGTGCGAAACGAAAACTGCTATATTTTGAGTCACGTGTTGGCCCCCCAAAAAAGTATGCGTCATTCACGGACAGTGTTAATATCATCCACAGTTATCTGTCAAGCAGCGTTTGTTTTGACCAGCGACTATGGAACTGTTTAACATCATTCACACCTGTCAAACAGCGGACCAGGTAGGAGATGGGGGTAGAAGGGAAGGTTCTTTTCCGAGAACTGGCCCTGACTCATCTGGTTATAAAAACAATATATATCTCACAATCTGCATATTTAAGAAATAAAGAAGTTAAGATTCATATGTTTCGTCGCAAATACAAAAGGTACTGAAAATGTACTTATAAAATCTGAGGTGAGGGTACAAATATGGGGTTAACGTAACATGCTGAAATCCCAATAATAATAATAATAATAATAATCGCCCAGACATAGAGATTAGAGATCGGAAAAACAAAATTTGCCTTTTTATTGACATGGCAGTCCCTGCAGACTGCCATGTATCTTTGAAAATCTTCAAAAAAAGTATCAAATATAAGGACCTTGAAATCGAAATCTCAAAAATGTGGTATATGAGAAAATCAACAATTCCACTTGTAATTGGAGCACTCGGATTGATTGGAAAATATTCTAATAGACTTATTGGAAGGGTTATTTATAGCCCATGCCTTAAAGAAATGCAGAAAAATTGTTTTTTACGAGTAGAACCCACACCTTACGAAGGGAGTTATCAATGAAAGATATGTGTGAAATTTTTTTAAATTGCTCAGTGGAAAATATGATGCCATTTCTGACCTTAGATCTATTTCAACAAGGTAATAATAGTTGTATCTCAGCTTAGAAACATAACATATCTTTAGCACATGAGCTTTTCCAAGCATACCCACCTCGCATGCATACTTCTAGTGATATGAAGTATCCCCAAAGCGTATTGCGAAGCAGAAAGATTCCTGGAAATAGTCCCGAGTATGCAAACCACAAAGTCGAAGAGGATCCTAGTAGCACATTTAAAGACACCATTGCAATGTTATACCTACACCAGATAATTTACATAACCTACAAGAGAACAATATCAGAACCTCCGAGAACAACAATCTCACCATTCTCTGGGATTCCGCACTGATGTAGAGATGGAAGTCAATGATTCTGAGGTCATTATCAAAGACAGGAAATAAAAGAGTTACATTCACATCAACATGGCAGTGCCATTTGAAAGAAAAAGCTCTAGGATAGTTACAGAAAAGATCTGGAGAATCATGGTCAACGAAGACCAAAATAGCACCAGTGGTCA